CACAGGCTGGTGTGCTTCTTCCATGTGGGCTTTGTTGCTTCTGAGCTAGATGGCCGCTTGTTTACCGTCAAGTCTTTAAGACCCTATATCTTTTGAAAGCTGGGCTACATCAGCTTTCTTCACCACATTTGTTTATGCACCCATTTGTCTTCAGCGATCTTGTTGGGAAGGTGAGCATCATGGAAAGCCAGTTTAATAGAACAAAGTGTTCTTGCATTGATGTAGAGGCTTGAGTAGAGGCTCAATGTCCATGTGCTACTTTAATTCTAAACCTATAAATAATATACACATAGATCTATTTCCCATCCTCCGATATAAATGTATTTACATATGTACATGCCTTTATTTAGACCGCTAAAATGTCCTTTGCCTCCTAGTGTTTTCCTGTATTTCCTTTGACTTTCCTCTTGTCCCACTACCATGCGTAGCCTTCATTTGTGTTTCAGTAATTCCTCTAGTTACATTCCTCTTGATCACACCCTACCAGACCTCCTATACCCTCCTCACCACCGATTTGGATTACTTGTTGTTCCCTTATCCCTGGGTTTGTTAACACCACTTCCTCTACCCCCACCACCTCCTCTCCCATGTCCCCTGCAACTGTCGGTCCCGTTGTTTTCTCCTCCAGATTGTTCATCCAGTCTGTCTATTTTGATAGACCTGTGGAGATAACAACATGCATTAAAAACAAGACGAAGCAAAACAAAGCAATAAGAAAACAACAACAGAAAAGCCTGCAGTTAGTTTAAGGACTGTTTGTTGGCCTTTAGGAGTGTTTTCCAGTCGAGATTGATGGGGTGCCAAGCCCTGGCCCCAAAGTCTATTTTTGATATTCCCTGAGGACTTCTTTTTAAAAAAATTTTTTTTAATCGTTTTATTAGGGGCTCATACGACTCATCACAATCCATACATACATCAATTGTGTAAAGCACATTTGTACATTCATTGCCCTCGTTCCTGAGGACTTCTTGCTCTGTTCCCCTTGCTGTTCTGTTGCACGCCCTTAGTGTTTTGCCTTGTTTTGGTGGGATCAGATTGGGTTCAATTCCCACACTGTCTCCAGTGTTGTCTCCTGTAGGGATATGGGTTAGTGAGGGATGTCCTGTCTCAGTGGGGCCGGTCATATGTTCTTCTCTGTGGATTGGCTGCTCTGAGCGGGAATATCGTCCTCCAGGCTTGGTGGCCAGGATGAGCTCCACTCTCTCTTCTTCCCCAGTCATTTCTATTGGGTTGCTATGGAGTAATTAATTGACTCAACAGCAACAGTTTTGGATGATCATTTTAGATTTTCTAAGGAAATATATTATTTTTTATTCATTTGACCCTTTACCAAGGTACCTTTTTTAACCAACATTTCTGGGTATTTTGTTCTAGCTCAGATATGGGTGCATCTTTATACTTTAATTTAGCTTATTATATGTTCTGATTCAGTTAAATCTCTTCCTGCAGGAAAATATTTAGGCTAACTAAAGAGGTTGTCATTTTACTTCTGCTATGTGGGAGATCTAGTAACCGTAATGAATTTTATATTATTGTTTTATTATGGAAATTAAAGTTTAAAACAGAATTTATAGTGACCTAAAAGACGTCTTACAGTTTCAATTTTACATATTCATATAAATTTTTATCTGCAATTTTTTTTGTCTTGAGATGTCCTTTAAAATGTAAAACAAGCCAATTTTATTATGATTTAATGTTTTCTAGATGAAGGTAATGAAACCGAGGTGCAGCCACAACAAAATAGCCAGCTAATGTGGAAACAAGGTCGCCAACTGCTTAGACAGTAAGTATCCCAAATTCAAATGATAAATTGACAACAAGGGAAAAAAAAGAGATTATTTTGTGTTTCTAGCTCAGTAGAATAATTTTGTTACTCATATTACATATTGCTTCAATAAAAACCTTAAATGAGTTATTGTTCCTTTTTCATATTAAACACGTTTCTCCTGTGGCGCAATTTATTTAATATTAAGTATTAATAAGAATGATGAAGAGCCATTTTCTCTTCATAGTTTTAGCTTTATCAAGAACAGTAAATTTAAGAGTTCAAATTCTATTTTACCTTTACACTTGTAGTTGAAAGAATTCTATACCCTGAAATCAGGCTTTGCATCTTTTATACATGAATATGCATATATTTTAATATAATTCCAGTTCATGCTTCTTTGCTATTTGTGTTACGTTTTTTAGCTTTCTATTTTTAAAAGGTTGAAAGATTTCTTGAGTTAACAAATTTACAATTGTTGAACTAACAAACTTTCTTCTTTAAGATGTGTGCTTGAGGCTATAAAGAGAACATAAAGCTAGGGTGGATTCAGGTATCAAGTGTTGTGCCAGTCCCTTTCACCAGCTCTGTTCTGGGCCTTGCATATCATGTTTGTAACTGGGATTTGTATCTTTGCGTGAGTAAATGAAATTTGCTGCCATTTTGTTTTGTTGTTCTTATAAATAGAAATGGGTGTTTATTTTTTTTGGGGGGGGGGGGTGCATGTGAATAGTCTAAACCTGTGGTCTGGTTTAGACTATGGGTAACAACATTTTCTCATATATTTTTTTGGTCTTAAAAAAGTTTGAAGGAAATGAGACTGCTGATTTTAATAAGTGGATTTTCATTAGTGCTTTTTTAAATGAATAGGTAATTTTCCTACTGTGCTGATATTTTTAGTTTAATTTTTATTTTTAAAACACATGATATTTTCAAAAACTGATTAGCCCTCAGTGTTACTATTATGGGAATAATAAATTCAGAAGGAGTGGCATCACATTCATTGTTACAAACATTTCATGATCTATTTTGAAGTATGTGTCCCTTAATAGCATATCTATACATTTACAAGGAAGTGAAGTCAATACAACTATTATTCAAATTTATGCACCAACCACAGTGAAGCTAGTGATGAAGAAATTGAAGAATTCTGCCCATTTCTTCAGTCTGAAATTGATCAACCATGTACTCTCAGGTGCATTGATAATTATTGATAATTCATATGCAAAAGTTGGAAACAGAGAGCAACAGTAGTTGAAAAATATGCCCTTGGTGTCCTAGAAATGAAGCTGGAGATTGCATTATAGAATTTTGCAATACCAACAACTTTGTCCTGCAAGCACCTTTTTCCAACAGTAGAAATGGCAGCTATACACATGGACTTGCCAGATAGAATCCATGGGCCTCAAATTGACTATATCTGTGGGAAGAGACCTTGGAGAAACTCAATGTCATCAGCAAAAATAAGGCCAGTTGTACACAAGTTGAAACTGTAGAAACTGAAAAGTTTCAAAGAGCCCCCAAACAACCTTGAGTATATCCCACTTGAAGTTAGAGACTATCATAAGAACAGATTTGACACATTAAACACTAATAAGTAAAGTCATGATGAGTTGAGAAATGATATCAGGAACATTTGCAAGAGGAAAGCAAAAGGTTATTAAAAAGACAAGAAAGTAAGATCAAAAGGGATATCATAAAAGACTAAAACTTGCTTTTGAGCATAGAATAGCTAAAGCACGTAAATGGGGAAAATGATGAAGGAAAAGAGTTGAATATTTCAGAGCATCTAGAGAAGACAAAGTAAAATGTGCAAAGACCTAGAGTTAGAAAGACAGACAGACAGATACACACACACACACACGAACACACTAAGTAGATCTCAAGCAGAAAGAACTGAAGAAAAAAATTCAAGCCTTAAGTTACAGTATTGAAAGATTCTATGGGCAAAATATTGAATGATAGAGTATCAAAAGATGATGGAAGGAATGCAGAGTCCCTGTACAAAAAAAAACCAGTTGACATTCAACCATTTCAAGAGGTAGCGTATGATGAACTGATGGTATTGAAATTAGTCCAAACTGCACTGATAGCTGTAGTGAGAAACAAGGCTCTGGAAATTGACAAAATACCAATTGAAATGCTTCAACAAGCTGACGAAGCATTGAAAACACTCTTTCTGTGCCAAGGAATTTGGAAGACAGCTCCCTGGCTATGCCAAAGATAGGCGACCTAATAGAATACATGGATTACTGAATTCCATCAATATCGTGCAAATAAAATTTTGCTATAGATATAAAAGGATGTGACATGTAGGGTATCATTGCTGATATTATAGATTTTAGCTGAAAGCAGAGAATACCAGAATGGTGTTTATTTGGGTTTTATTAACTATGCAAACATCAAACATACTGTGTGGCCCGTAACAAACTATGGATAACATTGCGAAGAATGGGAATTCTAGAACATTAACCTGTACCAAGATCACAGGCCAGTCTTGTGGATCCAGTGGCAGTGTAAGCATCTCAGCATTGGCAGGGGTCTCCACATGGCTTCTCTAGTTCCAGGGCACTAGTGTAGCTCCATGTGTCTTGTCAGAGGAATGTTTCCCAGGGAGTGAGCCTGTGTCCTGCCTCCAGCGAGCTATTTTATCTTCTTAGCATTTCCAAATGAGGTCATCAAGCCGTGACCTGATTGACAGGCTAAACTCCACCCCTTTACTCTTAGTCTCAAATTGACTACCACACCATCTTTTTCCGTATTCTAGAGTAGTTTGATTAGGATTAGTGGCAGCTCTTCTCTGGATGTTTGCTAGCATTCACCAGTGACACTCTCTGAGCCTAGACTTTTTTGTTGGTTTTTTAAATGTCTACTAACTTTATGAATCTGCTCACATTTTTTATTTGTCTGCCTTACTTTAGGTGTGTAGTTTATTTCTCTTAAATATTCAAATTTGTTGGAGTGCAGTACTTCATAGTATTCTATTATCCTTTTCCCCTTCCATTTGTTCTCTTCAGACTTTACCCATTTTAATTCTTATTAAAATCTTTTCTTTTGGTTGATTTCCCAGTGGTTTTAAAATTTTAAAATTCCTTTCAAAGAACCAGCTTCATGTTGGTTCTTTTGATTGTTTTTCTGTTTCATATATTTCTGCTCTAATCTTTATTGTTTCTTCTGGTGAGTGTAGGGTTCTTTTGCTACTTTCCCCCCTATTCGTTGAAGATGTTGGGTTTTATGGTGTTTATTTTGGCTCCTCTTTTTTTGATGTGTGCATTTATTACTATAAATTCCCCTCTAAGCAGTACTTTTGCTTCATCCAAAAGGTTTTGGTGTGTTGTATTTTTGTTCTCATTTGATTCAAGGAATTTTTTAAACTTTATTTTTTCATTACTTGGTTGCGGTAAAGCAGCATTTCTTTGATTTCTGTGTATTTGATTTTTTTTGTTTGATCTTCCTATTAATTTCTAATTTGATAGTTTTGTGATCTGAGAAGATGCATTATAATATTTCAATGTTTTAAAATTTATTGAGGCTTGGCTTGTGACCTAACATGGTCTATGTTGGACACGGTTCTCTGTGCATTTAAAAGAATATATGATGCGCTGTTGGGTGGAGTGTGCTGTTATATATTTATGAGGTCAAGTTAGTTTATTGTGCTGTTTAGTTTTTCTGTGTGCTTTTTCAGTTTCTAATTCTTTCATTGAAAGTGATGTATTAAAGTCTCTTATTGTAATACCACACACATAGACATGAAACCCCAAGAACAGTGAACTCAGCACAGAAAATGATGTAGAATAAGGAAACTAGTAGCACCACACTCACAAAATGACAGCAATAAATTCACACTTACCAATAAGTAAAATGAATATAAATGGATGAAATGTGCCAGTCAAAAGACAGAGTCGCATAATGGAAAGAAAATTAGGGCTCATTAATATGCTGTCTTCAAGCGATAAAACTTAGACACAAAGACAAACTCTTTTTTTTTT